TTAAAATTATGATTATTATTAATAAAAGGAAAGAGAGGCCAATGAACGAGCGAAAATGAAATGACAAAACAAAACAAATTCGAGTAAACAATATTTATTGTAAAAACAATAATTAACAGTGTCACCTTCAATAAATTTGATATTGCACGTTTCAACTTCACGAGGCCTTCTTCAGCAAGTTTTCTTAACAAAAACGATAAAAAACGAAGGAAATTTTAAATGCATAAAAACTTATGCGTCTGACTGTTAACTCTTAATTTCACTCTTATAATTATTATATTTTTCACATTTTTATATATTTTATTTTATATATTTTTCTTTTATCTATTTACGCTTGAATCTAAATGTGTGTTCTACAATTTTACCGAACCAGTTTTTATACATTTACATTCCCTTTCGTTTTTTATCGCTTTTATTAAGAAAAATTACTGAAGAAGGCTCCGCAAAGTCGAAATGGACAATATCAGATTTATATTCAAAGTAACTCTGCTAATTGTTATTTTTACAATAAATATTGTTTATTCAAATTTGTTTTTATCACGTCACTTCGTTTTTGTTTGTTCACTGGTCTCTCTTTCCTCTTGTTAATTTATATGAGCTGTCTGATACAATTTTGCTCTGATGATTATTATTATTATAACAAAAAGTATTTGAAAAGTATAAAACAAGTATTAAAAAGTATTAAAAAGCTCTTATTTCAATAATTATTGTTGCACTGATACTGTACTGACAAACTGTACTGCGTCATATTCACCTTTAACGTTGTTCCGTGCAGCCAGCGGTATGAAACGAATACGTATGGAGCAAATATATAGAGATATTTCTCCTTTATTCCAAAAATCCAAAAATGCGATTTCGGAAAATGACTTTATTATATACCGTTGTTCATTCAGCATAAAATGCTATTGAATTCATATTCTTATAAAGATTTAAAAGTTTTTGAAAATTAGGGAGAGGGGATGGGAGGGCTCGAAAATGTAACATTTTTGAAAAATTCAAATATGTCGTTGTAAAGTGCATTTACAGCCGTATTTCTTTTAATATTCTAAATATAATATATTTTCCCATCTGCATATTATAGATATTATACAAAGTTATTATAATTACAAAAGAGCAAGTTTATAGTTAAGCAAGTTATAGTTTATTATATCAGATAAAAAAACAATGAATAAATAATAATTTTTATTAAGTTATATATCGACTATATTTTCTTAAATCATGTATTATGCGAATCCGGAATTATTAAATTCCGACTAATCTACTGATTTATCAAACCTGACTTGCGTGGCTCAATTTTGATCTTGAATCCATCATGTCTTTTCAGAATAATGTCACCTCGCAGTTGAAAATCGTCGATCGATTTATTAGAAGTGATACGATAATTTCTCAATATTGTCGATAATAAAACCTTCAGTTTTAGCATAGCGTATTTTCGACCCACGCAGGATCTATGAAAAATACGATTGTTGTCAACAAATGTAATAATATGTTTTTATTTACGATATGTTTTTAATTACGATAACTTTTTTCAAAATAATATGTTAACAATATCTTTGTTTCAAAAACAAACATTTATTGGATTTATATATTTAAATGTGATTTTCTAGTATAACTATAACTGTATACACACACACACACACACACACACACACACACACACACACACACACACACACACACACACACACACAGAGAGAGAGAGAGAGAGAGAGAGAGAGAGAGAGAGAGAG